TGTATATATATCGCAATTCAATTAATTTTTTGAGTTAGGCGATAGAGATCCGACTGAAAACCACAATCGCATAAAATCGTTTTTCATATGTTTTGGTTCAGCTCATCTTTTCTTTTCATTTGAAGCTCTCGTTTTTGAATCGTTCTACCTTCTATTCGCTCGTATTCACCGCGCTGAAAGTTTTCTTGGAACATTAGTACTTCTTGCGATATTTAGTTGATGTACTTGTTCCGTGATATCTAATAGTAGTTATTTTATGGTTTGCTATGGCGACGTTTCCATCTGACGAAAGTACTGGTATGGTGCTGCTGGCCGGAAACTCGCACCCCGAATTGGCACGACTAATTTCTGAGTAAATGTCTATAATAAATCAAGATTGTTTAGTAATACTTAGTTACTTTCCAAGGATTACAGAACTTTTTTTTGCCCTTAAATATTGTTTTACCACTTATTTCCTCTCCATTTTCGGTACTTTTTTTAAATAAGAGCGTCATTCGCAATGAGCGTCAGTGGCCATTTCCCATTGGTGCTTATGGATCTTTTTAGAAGAAGGGAGGAATAAGGGCGGCGGTCATTGCAACTATAAAAAACCCACCGACTTAAAACCGGGGAGTTTCTGGCACTGGCAAGTGATTTCAGAAGATTAATTCTGGTTTTCTCTCAGGCTAGGTCAGCAGACCGGAAAGAACAATTCTTCGAACTGTTTGTCAAACTGGGCTTTTACAGTGTCAGAAACTCGGAAAAGTTACATCTTTCAGCAAAGCAAGTTGGGAGTTGTTGGTCATATGTGGTCATGATTTGCGTATGGCGCCCTCCTTCAAAAAAATCCTCCGTTTTTTTTCGATTTATAACCAGAATGGTTATTCTAGTCGTTTGAATGTGAAGCTTGGGGACGTGATTGTCTACAACAAGACAAATCGAGAAACAGCTGTTGAGATTCGGCAAAGTGTTCGCGGGAAACATGTTTTTATTCTTCAGTCAGGCTCCAAGTTCGTTTGTCTTTCTTTTTGATGTGAAGAGTATTAGGAATTATCGTTTTCACAAAAGTATCATTCATTTATTTTCACCTAACGACAGAAACAATAAAATTAAATTTTTCACTGTAGGATTAGGAAAATCAGGATTATTGTTCCAAATAGAATAAAATATTAAAAAACACTGAGCGGTCTAACGGCAGGCAATTTAAATCCCTTAGTTTCATTTTGAGATAGAATTAAGGATATAACTTTTCACAGTCTACTTTTTTATTTGGACCGAACAAAGAGACAAATTATTTCAGTTATTTGAGGTTTCGTTTCCGAAAAATGATTGTTTAGTATACGAAAATATGACTAACATTTAGGGCACTTTAAAAGACACGTAGTTTTAACATTTGAAAAAGAAAACAGTTTTCAAAACATTACTTTTCATGTAGCCCAGATGAAGTAAATAAATTTTTTTTGGACATGTAATTCTTTTTAAAAAGATTTGAGTCAAGTGCCAATAGTTTTGTAGATTTTGAATACAGTAGTTAGCTGTAGTTACTCTTTGTTTTAACATTCCTTCAATGGCTTCTAATGATTTCAAGCGATTAACTGTCTGATCAAGGTTAGGTGGCTTTAGAGATGTTAACAACAGCATTATGGAGCTCATGATTCTGGTATATGCTTGCAAGACTTCTATGGCAAAAAGGATAACTGTAATAATGCCATATTTGCCCTACAGTAAGCAGTGTCGCATGCTCAGAAGGTCTGCGATTCCAATGAAATTGATTGCTGATATGTTATGCAAATCAGGTTTGCGATTTGCTTGAGGTGTTCTGACTTGCTTTTGTTTCTCACACTCAAGCCTTTACTAAATTGAACTCCGAGTAAACATCTTTGTTTAGGGGCCATGCGTATGGTTTCCCTCGACCTTTACAAGAAGGAAATTCAAGGGTTTTTTTCAATACCAGTTGATAACTTGCGAGCTTCTCCCTTCCTTCTACAGTACATTAAAGAAAATGTAAGTGACATAGTTTTTGGAAAAACATGATCTATTGAATTAGTAGTTATTTTATTCTTAGTATTGAGCATGGTTTATAGCACTAAAATAAAAATTTAGTGACTGAACTTAATCTGGGATAGGCTCAAGAGTTCCTTTTGCTAAAAGTAAAAACGTGTTATTTGTTATTGTTTACCAAACAAGATAGGTCTTACACTTTTATTAGCGTAACTGAATTTGTTCAACGCGGGCATGGTTCACAGTACCCTCTGTGGATTTTTCTGGTTCTGCACAGAATTTGGTTCGATTATTCGTTAGTGTAGCTAATTAGTATTCTGGTAACAAACCTTTTTTAATTGAGGTGAGAGTTATGAAGTTACAGTAAATCACTTTAATTTGCTTGTCACGTAGCAGCCTTACTCTTTTTAAATCCCACCTATTTTTGAAGAACTGGAGCTCTGCAAGAAAATGGGTTTTCTGTGAAGGCTCCTTGGCTTCAGTAGCACACTACTTTTCTTTCACTACGAAAAGTTTGTAATTGGTGAGGTTGTGTACCACAAAATCTTGTATGCGATTAGCAGCTAAATTATACTTTATTTTATAATCTGGCTCTTAAAAGAAAGCAAAGAAACTAACGTAACGTGAG